CATGGTTAGGTGCGGGATGCACAACCATAGATTATCTGAGGATTTGGAAGACCACGACATATTGGGTCATTTAAAAGATCATGAACGACAATTTGTGGATGATATGACGAAGTACACTATGGCTCAAAGGTTCATAATTGTTGCTTTATAAGACAAAGATCCTGAAAGCCTAACTAAAGTTACCCAAGTGTATAGAGCCAGAGCTACATACAGAACGGACAAGAGAAGACCATTGACAAAAATGCAAATGTTTTTTAGTCTTATTCATAAAGGGAAATACATGTGTTGGACTAGAAATAGGGGCGACGTAGATGTTGTTGCTGATATCTTTTGGACACATCCTGATTCGATGAAGTTGTTGAATATGTTTCATTTAATGTTGATTTTTGACTGCACATACAAGACAAATAGGTAAGAGTATTTTATTGGACATCTTAAAATTTGTTGTTGTAAATATTGATTTATAAATGTTGATTTTGATTATTTCCATGTTGCTCGTATAGGTACCGCTTACCACTGCTTGAGATTGTTGATGTTACGTCAATGAAGTTGACGCTTTCAGTCGCCTTTGCCTATTTGGAACATGAAAGGGAGGAGAATTTCACACGAGCACATGCAAATAAAGATGTGGTTGCTTCATTAAAACTACACATGGGTTACCGTGTGCGTGCCAACTTGTTGGTTTCCAACTAAAAGGCAACACGGTTCCTTTGGACTCAATTCATGTATTTTGGATGAAGTTGCACATTTTAGATCATGAGGTTAGTCATGATGAGACTGGTACAAAATAGGATTTAAAGGTAGAGTGTGAAGAGTTGAAGACATATTTCAATACTTTGGGTTGTAGGTCAGAGAGTGTTGAAGAAAAAGGTTCGAGAACTAATACATTCATCCACAACTTTTATGTGTCCACCACCGGTGAAGTACAAGCCAAAGAGGGCAGCAAAGAAGAGTAAAAAGGCACTGAGAATGATGCACATCGTGATCCTAACCAGTGGGAATATGCCGAACTCTCGCAAGGGAGTCAGACTACAAGGAGATCAAGCATTAAACCAGATGGATGTCAATCATCGAGTCAACCTTCAGCTTAACCGTCCTCTGCATCTTCAAGACATGTTTACTTGTCCCAATTTCCTACTTTCTTACATCCATACATTGATGACATTATTGATATTGAAAAGGATGAGAATTATGGATTCCGTTGCATTGCAACTCAACTTGGATGTGGCGAAGACATGTGGACTTTGGTTAGGACGCAGTTAGACACTCAAATTCATCAACGTCCTCAATCATTTTCCAAATTGTCCTATGACTCGGTTTCTACAATTAGGAATTCGTTACGAGTAGAACACATGGATGTGCAGGGTAGGGATAAATGGATTAGCATTTTTAATATGGGTTATCCTATTGCTTCTAGATACAATGTTGTATTTGTCCTCATTTCCATGAGACTTAATATCACATTTTTTCCTCTGACCTTATCGCCACCTATATATATGAGCAAACATAAAATCATTGTTATTGACTTTATCAACGAAAATCATTAGATTCAGGTAAAGTTGAAATTTGATTGTCCACTATCTCCTGTCACTAATCGTTGGAGAGAGAATTATATAATGATGCAAACTTTCACGAAATATATAATGATTCAAAAATAATTAATAGTATTTATTTTCAATGTTCTAAAATTTTTGAATTAACCATTTCTAAATATGAAAAATAAACAAGAATTCTAAAGAATATTGAAATTAAATTTTTAGAGATTTATTGTAGAATTTTCAAAATCTTTAATAACCAAAAGCATTATCCACCATGACTTGTGTTAACTAGCTAAACTCAATTATTCTTTTTTATATTAAAAAAAAAACTACACTAAACTCAATCCGTGAAATGAGTATATAGCAGCAACACAGGCATATTAGCCAAAAATGAAGGTTGTAGATCTAGAATAAGGATTATTTTACATATTCCACCAATTCCATTGATCTTCGTTTCTGGATCCCAATGAATATGAGATCTATTTACATTTTTCTTAAATTTCTTAACATAATTGGTTTTTTACCCGATTATTTAAGAGATATTTATAGGTATTTTGTACAACAATCAATGATTAGTACAGGAACATATCGGTACTATATAGATCAATAAATTGATTCCTTAATTAATGTGACCAAAGATTTGAAATGAAGGGAGTAACCGACAATATCCTTTTTCTGTAAAAAAATCATGATTGCTTGCTAAATTCTCAGTCCTTCTATTATGTTGATATTTTGTTAAAAGAGAAAATTTTTAATTAATAAATTCAATAATATATTTAATTATAATTGTTATTTAAAAGTTATATTTAATCATATTTAATATTGATTTCATTGGGTCATGTAAATCATCTATTTAGAATCAATTTTGACAATTCATATTCAAATTTCAAATCAATCTTTGAATTTTCTGTTGGGTCAATGTTTTTTGAATTGAAAAGTCACTAAAGAGATTATCATTGAGTATCCCACAAATACATACGAGTTTGGCCAATTGAGTTGAAAAGGCCCAATATTCTTAACCCTGACACAATTATCTACAAAGGCATTGTAATTCGGTGTATGTTTGGATGATCAAAAGCAATTTTAGATAGTAGAATTGATTTTGGTTGATTTTGAGTTGTTTGGTTAGATAAAAGTAGAATTGATTCTGCCTCCAGAATTTATTCTACTTGAAGTTAGAATTTGTAGCTTCTGCCTCCATAATTGATTCTGAGTGATTTTTACGCTGAAATTTATTGTTCAACTCACTTTTCCATAAATGTATCCAAACATAAACTAATTCTGCTAAACTCAATTCTGATAAAATAAATGCTACCAAACTCAATCCTGCTATAATCAATTTTGTCAACCGCCAATCCAAACACACTCTCAATCATACTGTGGTCGCGACTTCTTCTTCATCACCCTCAATCAAATTGCCCGAAAAAGAACACGAATATTTCTTCTTTGTCATCTTCGATTTTCAGAAAAGAGCACGAATTACACGAAAAAGGTACGCCAAAACCCTAATTCTTTTATTTTTTGTTGTTTTATGGTCACAGTTGATATCTTTGAGAAAATGAGAAGAAGATGCAATGGCTGTTGCACAATAGCAAAGAGATAACAACATTGAGAGACACATTGATTCTTCTGGAAAATATGTGTGATACACTGCTGAATAGATTCAAGCTTTGGAGAAGGTTTATGTGGAATGCTCTAAACCATGTTCCTTGAGAAGGAAACAGCTGATTAGGGAGTGTCCGATTTTAGGCAACATTTAGCCTAAGCAAATCAAGGTTTGGTTTCAGAATAAAAGGTAATGAAGATTTTGATTTCAGAATCAAGGATTGTGTTGTGAAGGGTTTTGGCTTTATCGGTTGTTTGATTTGATGTGTGCCTTTTTTGTTTTGCAGGTGTAAAGAGAATCAGAGAAAAGAGGCTTCTCAACTTCAGATTGTGAACAGGAAACTAGCGGCAATGAACAAGCTGTTGATAGAGGAAAATGAGCGGTTGCAGAAACATGTTTCGGAGCTGGTAAATGAGAATGAGTTTATGCGCTAGCAATTGAAACCTGTACAGCCCTATCATTGTTCATTTTGTGAATTGATAATTGTCATTGTTTAGGAATATAGTTGTTATCTGATATGATTTGCGTTGTTACAAATGTTGATTTGTATTGTTACTTGATGTCAGTAATTGCAGACCGTCACAGCAGCTCAATTAAATGAAACCGATACAAAGCTCACAACCTTTATGTAGGAGGTTGACCTTTGGTATTTTTGAGATATGCACTGATTTAATTCTTTATCCGTCCGATTCTTTTTCGGATTAGTCTGTAATAAATCTGCTTCATTTTCTGTGAATTCTGAGAACATGCATTTTCTGCACTTCATGATGGGCCCCCGGCAGGACTGACGGTACCTCATGTTCACATTCATGTTGTCCCACGAAAAGGTGGTGATTATGAGAAGAATGACGAGATATGTGATGCAGTAAGATATATGTTTTCTCAAATGTCAAGTTGTTGATTCTAATCTACTCTCTATCTTATTAATTATTTTTTATTTGGTGTTTTGAAATTGATTCAAATGGATGAAAAAGAGAAAGAATTGAAAGAAAAACTTGATTTTCACAAAGAAAGGAAAGACAAAAGTGCTAAATAGATGTCAATGGACTTCTGGCCTATTTGTCTAATTTAGTATCCCAAAATTCTGTGGCTAATTTGCTTCACAGATCTTTTGTGTGGCTAATAGCTTCAAGAAGGAAGGACCAACTAATAAGATCATTGCTCTTTATTTCTTTCCTGTGAATGAAAGGTAATTTATAAGACAAGTTTTAAATCATATTAATGCGATCTTTCGTTAAATTGATATATCTATATAATATTTCCGCTACAGATCATCTAAGAACTTCTCTCATATTTTAATTACAAATATAAGTTACTTCATTATATAATGTAAATGTGACAAAGCTAAACCATTGATATTTCTTCTCATCTGTGTTATTTTCTTCCTCTGTTGCTATAACGATAGCTTGGCATATTCAATGCAAAAAATGATGCCAAATAAAGCCTTGGTAAACACAATTCATTTCTCCAATACTTAGTTCATACTTTTGCAAATTTTTACGCGAGATTTACTCTTAAAACCTAACAAACATATATTTGCAGGTACGAAGACCTACTGCAGGTGTCTTGATTCAGAGTTTTGGAGCAGCAGCCAACCTCTAGACCTACTGCCATGGAAATGGCTTAATTTCTGTAATAGCGTAACTTGACCTCGGTCAGAACTTGACGTAGAAGATATTGATGATGCTCTTGAAGATAGAGATGAACAATAGGAATCATCCTTCATGTTTTTGAGAAAAAGTTCGGAGAGTCGCCAGTTTTCATTGCTTCTGCCTTGATGGAAGATGGTGGACTCCCAAAAGGCACTAATACGCGCATACGGGTGAAAGAAGCTACTCGTGTTATAAGTATTGGATATGAAGAAAAAACTGAATGGGGGCAAAGAGGTAATCCAACTATACAATTATACAAAATCTGTGATGACAATAGCATTCCAGCTTGCATTTGATGTCCACCTTCAAGATAATATAGCAGTTATGGCGCGACAGTATGTGCGCAGCGGATGGCTCTGTAACAGCTATAGGTATGTGTCTGTCGGTTAAATCGTTCTCACTATGCATAACTGCACTTCATGATGATCTTAAATCAAATGGTAGTTGATAACATGCTAACAGTTTTTTCACAGATTCTATCTAGGTGTAGAACTACTAAAGAGCGAAGGCAGTGTCTCTTTGGCATCATTCAGATTTTGTATAATGCTGCTCTCTATAGTTTTATGTTGCTCTCAAAAACCTCATACTGCAGTTGTAATGCATTTGCAAAGGCCTCCAAAAGTTTCATATTGTGACTGCCATCGTGATTGTGGACCGTCGTAATGTCAAACTATGGCTGAAACACATAAGTGTTAATGTTGTTCCATAAACTTTGAAATTATTAATGTAAGTTGAAGTCACATATAATTATAGTAATCAATGTATAAAAAAAACGTATCACTCTTATTAAAGACAAATGACAGACTCTATATTTGTTTTCTACTAAGCAAACAAGATCGTAACGTACCTAAGCAATTTTTATTGTGCTTATGCAACGTAGAACCTTCGGGTATATAGAATGAAACATCTAATGAAAAATAAACTGATTTTAGATCAATCGAGATTGGAGTTATTAGAAGTCCAACAAGATGATTATACTGATTTTAGATCAATATAAAATGAACCGTAATTACATCCTGAACAAGGGAAGTTACACTTGCATGTTCATTACTTCCCTGGGAGTCATTTATGACATTGTGGATGGAGCTTTGAAAAAAGTTCTTTGATGGATAAAAATGAGGTAGTTTTGACTGCACATAAATTGTTTTATAATTTTAATAGCGTTAAAAAAATTATGGCAGATCTTTGAAACAAAAATATGAAGGATCCAGAATATATGTCCAAAATTTCCCGTTGGTATATATCTATGTACTATTAATAGTAAAGACAGTTTATAATGTTATCATAAGTTCATTTATAAATTGTAAATAGTTATAAGAAAAAAAATATATAAAAATTATTTTTCTGTACTCGTAAGGGTATACATACTAGTTTATATCAAATGGATTCAGAATAAAATCGTGAACAAAATCACTATTTTTATAAGTATTTTAAGCTCTCTCAAATATATTTTAGAGTTGAAACGCAAGAATATCGAAAATGATTAAGCCTTTTATCGAATTTGCGCAAGATTAACGAAAATTCGGATGTGGCGAAGAGTATCTGAAATTTTTGATGAAGAGGATGTACATTTTTATAATGTAATTTTCTGAATCTGAAATGTTTAATTTATAGGTCAAACTGATGTTGTTTCATAAAGTTGCGAGCCTTGATGAAACACAGACTTTTAAAGTGTTGTATCATCTATAATAATATTTTTTAAATGTTACATTGTTTCACCTACAACAACAGTTTTCAAAATTTATATTATTTCACATTTCCTATTTAAACTGCAACACTTCACGAAATATTATCTATTTTTAAATTAAGATACAAATTCTACCTAGATATTTTCTTATCATTTTAAAACACACTTATGATAATTAAATATTATTAATTATTAATAATTTATAACATGGAGCTCGTCCCTTCCGATGAGTAGGTCACCGTTGGACCGGGTTTTGCTCACACCATCCTTTGTTCTCTTCAACAACCGTGAAGTGATTATTTTTTCTCATATTGATTTGCTATTTTGATTTTTCCAAACTTCCTCTATTGACAATGCTTTGTTTATTGTATTTGTTCTTGTTTCTTCATGATTTACTCAAGCTCCATTTTTTCTTGTCATAATACATGCTTTGTAGTTTTGATTCTTTTGTGATTCTTGACGTTATGGTTGCATGCCATTTGTTCACATACAGTTTCAAATGAGAAACTATAAGTAACTAGTTGCCTTACTCATTTGAGAAACTATAAGTAACTAGTTGCCTTACTCATTCCATATTTTACCATGAAACTCTTAATCATCTTGTCAATGTTGGTGAGATTTTCAAAATATTTATTTGAGGAATGATGATGATTATATTCACCTAATTAGATTTCTGGATCACAATTGATTGTAATGGTGTAGTGATTTTCCATAGAAGCATCCGTCCAGATTCAAACTTGGTGCGTTTCAGTCAAAAAGCACGCATGGACCAACGCACTTGCCACTAAAACATTGTATTATTTGATTGAAAATATAAACGGAAACAAGGATAACAATGTTAACTACCAGTCATTCAAATGATGTTTTCCTCCACCAACTGACACAATATTCTCTATAAATAAAGATGTTGTGCAAACTGAAAATAGACACGAAAATATTATATTTCAGATCCAAAAATTATATTTAACTTATTCTTTTATTTTTCTAGTGCACGAGAATAACTGAAGGAAATTTATTATGTAAAATATCATTAATCGATATACTTAATGTGTATGTGTGATTCATGTTAAGGTTTTCAAAGTATCTTGAAGGAGATTCTCTGAATTATCCATTTGCATCCAATTTGTCTAAATTGATGGAGGTGAATCGAACCTAAAGCTTAGTACACGCTTTAGAATTTATTTTTTATTCAACTTTCATCATACTGTTTTCATCTTCTTTTTGTTAATGTTATGCAGCAGACCTCCAACACAAGATCTAACAATCTTTAGGTTGAATTTTCTATTTTGATCCATGCTTTATTTTACAATTAATATTTAAAATAATTTATATTAATTAATAATGTATTATTTCTAGATGAAATCATTTGATAAAAAAAAAATCATTTGAATTTTATGTTGCATGTATTTGGTAACATAAAAAAAAATTTAATCAAAAGAGGGCAAAGGCCAATGATATATTGAAAGAAAAATAGGTACACAAAAATGAGGGAACCAAACCAAAACCTTAAACCTAACCAATACAAAAGTTAAGAAGACCTAACTTGTTCCTATCAAAATCATTAATTACATTGGAGTGTAAACTATCCCACCAAGTATCGTTAGCGACTAATAAGTCCAAATTAGCGAGTTTATCTGCACAATAATTTCCCTCTCTGTAGATGTGAGTTGCCACGAAATTAAGATTATTAAGCGCTTGAATACAAAAATCCTATTTGTTTCTGAGCTTCCAAGGCACAACATAAGCGTTTGTAAATGCAAGAATTGCAATCTTCGAATCTGACTCCAGCCACAAATTATTCCAATTCTGACTAAAAGCGTACTCCTTAGCTAAAATGGCTCCCGTGAGCTCTACAAATATTGCATTCTCCGAACCCTAAAACTAGCAAAACTGCCCAAATGATCATTGTTATGATCCCAGAAAATACCACCGCAGGCCGCCACTGGCGGGGTACCTACCGAAGCGTCATCAATGTTAACTTTGACCCACATCAAAGGCGGTGGACACCACAACACCTCCTTACATAATTGCACCTTAGAGGTGAATAATGATGTCAAAATTCTTCATAATAACAAAGTCTCAAATATCATTGTTCGAACATTTAGTGGTGAGATTACCTGCTAAAGTCGTGAGGGAAAGGATGGAGGCACAACTAGAATACCAGGGAGAGGAATTGTTTTGAAAACGCGCTCCATTGCGAGCATTCCAAATATAAGAGAGAGTATTAGTAACTACAACAAGAATGACAACCTTGCATTGTAGGGAGTGTATACTGTCAATAAGACTCAAGCAGACCACAAGCGACTACACCGGAGAATTCAAGCCAAGAAAATTACTTATCCAACCCCAAAGGTTTTTGGCATAAGTGAAGCCAAAGAACAAATGAGACATGAACTCTGAATTAGTAAGACAAAGGCTGCATTACGACGGGAACATCCAACCCCTAGAAATAAGCTTGTCGTTCGTGGGAATCTTTCCAAAAATCAAATGCCAGAGTAACAGAGATTTTGAAGGGGGAAACGACAGATTCCAAAGACACTGGCCCCAGGAGCATGCATGGTGATTAGCTTTGAGGTGGAAATAAGCATCTTTAACTGTGAGCAAGCCATTATCCGTGCCCTTCCAAATTTTCCTATCAACACCAAACGGATTGATAACAATCTCATTCATAAGTTGTTGTAACAACGGACAACAAGCCAACAGAGGACGCGAAATGCAAACAAAGTGATCAATGATAAATTCACCTAGCTTAGATTTCAGATTGCTCCGCAAAGTAAAAGGCAGTTGCACAAAATTAGTAAGTCATTACTCACACCAACTATCAGTCCAGAAATTGATGTTTGTGCCATTACCAATCAACCAAGCAATATGTGTTTCAACCTCTTGTTGCCTGTCCAAATTGAAGAAAAAACATGGTATTTAACATAACACCCATTTTGTAAATTCTAGCCCTTAAAACATGTGCCTAGTCCTCCTCGGAACTGAAAATGCTCTAACACTGCTTCAAATCAGTGGCTTCATTGATGAGATTAAGAGATTTTAAGCCAAATCCTCGATTCTTGTATTTATTGCAACACTGCTGCCAAGCCAATGTCACCATCTTACATTGATTAATATCAACGATCTAGATAAAATCACGACACCATTTTCCACCTCCTTATTAAAACTAACAGGCCACGAGTAAATCAAGAGGGTATGCATCATCATATCGTATGTAACAAACCTAACAAGTTGAATGTGACCTGCGATAGACAAAAGAGAAGATTTATAAGAAGCTAACTTAGATTTAATATTTGTTATTTCTCTAAAATTATGATTGGCATACATTTTGGTTAAACCAACTTGGGAGCAACATGTTGAACAAGATGTTCCAACTTACAGTTTTCAACATGTCGAATGACATGTGCCAACCAGGAGGATAAGACATTATGTCTACAACAGGTGACTGTTATGTTTCAGCTGATATATTAGTTACTGAATATTCAAGGAATATTTAGTTAGCTTATGTGGTGTCCAAGATTGACAAATCAGAGATTCTATGTTGGTTTTTCAAAGATGTACAAAGTTTCTAAATATGGAGACATTTTAGGAAACTAATGATTGAAGACCTATTTTCTTGGAGGAGATTTTGTAGATTTTGTACAGCCTCACTGCTGCGATTTTGAAGCTCAACCCAGTCCAGAATAAAGTTATATATAGATTGGTATATACCTAGTTTTATGTGGAACTTACGTGTGTGTTTTGTTAGGGTTTTAGAATCCTTATTTGTGAGCCTCTCTAATATCACCTTAATAGAAGAGTAGGATTGTTTTGGGTTGTAAGTCTTGTCAAGCAGCCATAAGCTTTTAAGCATTGGATGTTTGTGTGTCAGATGCTCATAAGTTTTCAAGCATTGAATATTTATGTGTCAGTTCTCATGTGCTCTTAAGCATTGAGGATTGTGTGTCTAAGAAAAGTGACTTCCTGTTTTTGTTCT